AAAATATATTTTCCAACTGGTCCATGGTGTAAAAAAAGGTTGGAGACCCCTGCCCTAAATACATGGTGCATGTAGACAAAATGTAACATTCAGAACTCAATTCTGCTCCCCAGAACAAGCAGAGCATTTACTGAAATGAAGCAGCAAAATGGCTGACGCAGAAGTACATGCCCGCTCAAAAGAATTGTGCACAATATGAACATGAATATATATTTAGACATAGGGTGAATTCTGATACCTCCTCTTCTTGTTTTTCTTTTCTCCTGGAATCTGTGGCATCAGTATCGCCTTCATTCGCCTCATCATCCACAATCCTGTTGTTTTCTGTTTCCTCATCGGCATCATCCTGAGGGAGTCAAGCATACTGCTGTCGTTACACGTTTAAGACATGGTAAGCAGCACACGTGCGGCCTGTTGTGACGGTCTACCTCTTTGTGTGCAATGGCACCGGCATCTCGATCATTGTCACTCGCCATGGCTTTGCGCGTATCCACCACATTGACAGCCGCCAGTTTAGCACTCAGCTTCTTAATGGCCTCCAATAGCATGCGAAAGAATCTGTAACGTACAAATAAGCCTGTGAGACATCAGGGAAATCCTCTGCAGTGAAATGCAATGTTGTTTTAAGCGTACTTCTGCTCCATGAACTGAAGAATCTCATTAGGGGTGAGTAGCTTGTCTTGCTGGTATCGCTCTGGGGGCAGGAAGTGGAATGTGAGTTTGAAAACACGTGACTTCTGGCTCCGTTTCTCTACCGAGCGGAAAGTTTCTATCACATCCACTTTGTGAAGCACCTGTACACGGAAAGATTAAGTGCACATGGAAGTTTATACATTCATAACAATAGTCCACCTGATTGACCTTCATGATTCCTTTCCAAACCTGTATGACATTCTTTTTACTGTAAAAACAAAAAGATGTTTTGGAGTATATCTATATTTCCACATGAGGAAAATCAATGGGAAATGGGTGGGAAGCTCCACAAACATCTAAGAAAAATGCACCACAAGTGGTCAATATGACAGTTTGATATAATGCTATTGATCACCATTTGTTCTTGCTTTCTCAATAAAAGGAAAACGATATCATAATTTCTTCACCCTCCTGTCATTCCAAACCCATATGACTTACGTTTATCTTCGAAACACAAATTAAGGTATTTTTAATGAAACCGGAGAGATTTCTGTCCCTCTACTGAAAGTCTATTCCACCTAAAACATTGTAAAACATAATCCATTTGAATCAAACGGCTTAAATCCAAGTGTTCTGAGGAAAACACGTTTGCTTTATATGATTAACAGATTTAATTTCAGCTTTTATTCACATATGCTTACTTGCTGTGTGAGAACCAATGAGGTTTGACAACTCGATTTTTATGGATTACTTATATGATGTCTTTATGTACTTTTTGAAGTTTTGGTTGCGTGGACTTGTAATGGAGAGACCAAAAAACCTCAGGTTTCATTAAAAAATATCCTTATTTGCGTTTAGAAAAATCTTTTGGAACAAAATGAGACTAAATAATGGCAATTAGGTGAACTAGTCATTTAAGCTGCCATATTTGAACACACATGACCATGAATAAGATTTGAGATCTATAGTGGAGAGGAAAAACGTTTTACTGAATAACACAGCACACGGTCACAAGTAAACACTGAAACAAGTTGTGCTCACCTCTGACAAACACACACGCGTTATCTTCTTCCGCAGTGTCTTAACACGTTTCAAGGCTTTCTTGTTCATCAGAACTGGAATGCTCATCATGGGGGTTTTGATGTTAGAGCTCGCAACCATGAGTATTTCTCTTAATCTATGGAAGATTTTTTTTTAGATGAATCACAAAAACACAAACAGTAATACGTGAAGTCTGCAGTAGTTTCCATTAACATTTAACTTTTTTAATGAAGGAGAGAGCTCAATAGCATATTAGGTTTTGATTTAGCATTTATACAGAGAATCATGAAATTTTACTAGCATTAGTATCGCTACTAAATGAAACCTGACCTTGGAATACCCAATGTGACATTCATCTCTCCTCTGCCGGCGAAGTGGAAGGTGTTCAGGGTCATTTGGGTGGATGGCTCGCCAATGCTCTGAGCTGCCAGCAGACCCACGGCCTCTCCGGGGTCACACAGAGATCGCTGCCACTTCAGCTGCAGGAGATGCCTCAATCTGTCAGCACACACAGAGTGAACAAAACACTGATCACAAAATGATAGTACATAATTGATCATTCCAATACATGAAACTACATAGTTATTTTATTTCTTTACTCCATGGTTCTAAACCCGGGCCCACAGCAAAAACTTCCAAGGGAGACTCGTGATGACTTAAAATTATTAAAAATAAGACAAAACAAGCATTAAAATAAGCTACAAAAAAAAAAAGGGTATTTCTTATTTTAATACATGGCTGGAAATCTGAGATACCCTCATTTTAAAATTGATTCTAGACCTGTAAATGTTATGTTAATCAAATTCAAATCTTAAAACATTTTTATAAAGAATTTTTTTTTTTAGTTATGCCAAGCTCTGAAATATTTTATTTTAAATATAACATATATATGTAACTTTTTTTTCAACTGCAAAAATCACGTAAATTCATTCTTTCAAAAGAGTGGGATCCCTGAAGAACATTCAATCACTTTGGAAGAACAATAACTTATTTTAATTATAATTATTTTGATTACTTAAAGGCATTCCTAGTCTCTGTAAACGAAAAAAAGTTCAGAAAACAAATGTAATTTCAGCATGTGTACCATAGGACACCTAATCGCCTATATTAAATATCATTGTGGACAATGAGAACCACTTTAGTCTGACAACAATTTTCCAAATTCAAAATTTAGAAGTCTAGAAATGGCCTTTTAATCCAGATAATAATTTAATGTTGAACAGTCAACAACGAGTCTTACCTATCCGTGTCAATGATTTCAGAGGAGGTCTGAAATTCCTGCTTGACATTGAACTGATCCATGTAGGACTCAACAATGGAGTCAAAGGTCTCAGACACTGAACCAAAGCAGATGTCCGGCCGGTAAAGACCCAGACACGGGTCTGGACAATGAGACGTCTTCTTTAAATACTTCTTACGGCCAGACTCATCCAGAGCTCTCCAATTCTCCAAGAGCTAAATACACAATCTCATTGTCATGTAGGTAAAGTGCACAAGTGCAAGTCATACTGCGTTATTTTGAGAATGTCTGGTTAATTGAATCATCTAACTAAGTACTTTACAGGATGCCATTGTGAGACATTCATAAACTAAAACCCCTTAATAAATGCTTCAGTACCTGTAGAGTGGCTGGCTCTCTCCCATTGGCCAGTGTCTGGTCTTCGATTTGAGACTTTAACTTGCTCAGTTTCTTCTGTGAGAAGAGTAGGAAGGCACCGTCTCTGGATGAAACACGCTCATGTTTGGCTTTCCATCTCTTAATGGCTTTAAAGTGATTAAATGCTGCCTCTGGGTCCATTTTAGCCAGAACTTCATCCAAGCACTTTGACTTTCTGATAACCTAGAAAACAGTGCATTATATAAAATGTTAAATGTCTTCTTCCATCAACGCAACTGTGCACAGACATGTCTACATAATCTTATTGTAATCATGATCCCAATTTGTGCTTCTCTCAATTAATCAATCATAATTGTCTGCAACAGTCACCATTATTATTTTTGAGCAAAATGCTTCATGCTTAAAGGTCCCCTGAAATGCTTAGAAACATGCAGCGTTACTCTGTGTTGACTT